TTATTTACTTAGTACATTCTAAAGTACACGGTGTTTAGCGCATTTCTCATCTATTTTGCTAGGTTTTAAGAGGTAATACATATATTACAGGAGAAGGTCAAAAGTTACGAAAAATGTAAGAAATGTAACCATCTGGCAACACTGACCTCATCGTCACATTCCATCAGGTGAGATCGTCAAATGCGCACTTATTTTTATATAAAAAAAAACATAGATAAATAGAAAAAAAATTAGAGTAATGAAATTTCACCTATACATAATTTGTTTCATGCAGTTGTTTTTTTTATTATAACGTGACGGGATGAACAAGTCGTGCGCCTGGTGGTAAGCGACACGACTGTCCCTAACAATTGCAGTGCCACTCAGAGCTTTAATCTCACAAAGATCTGAGGGGCACTGCCACTGCGCCCGTCACCTTGAGACATAAGTTGACAAGTCATATATGTCTGTAATTACACCAGCACCCTTACCCTTCGAAACCGTAACGCAGTAGATGGCAGTACTTCCCTGGACGAACTCTTTCACAAGGAGCTATACTGCTACTAATTCGTGTTTGTATTTTTTTTCTTGTAATAAAAGCACTTTTGACGTAAGATCACACGTGGCTTTATTATACCAAGCTAGTAAGCTAGCAAGATAGTAAAACAATTTAGAAATATATCTGACTGAATTTTATTACAAGACTTCGAATACATTACACAGTCATTCGGTAACTTTCGAGATATTGGTACGTAACTTTTATTGTCACCTAAAAAAAGTCAACTAGTAAGATATTAAAAAAACAATTAGAGCGGGTTGCAGATCTTGTTTCGGTGATCCCAGATAATGTTAATGACTCAATTTCGCTAAAAATGCCGATAGATGTTTCGATATGTTACGTCAGAAACGGTAAAATTGTATCCTTGGCAAAACTCAACGGTGTCTAACAAAGTAAAAAATTACACTATTACACCATTTGTTAGCCACAGCACGTATGGAACATAATATTACGAATAAGCTTCGGCTGCAGGTTCTCATGTGAAGCAGGGCTCGAGCAGAATTAACCATTATGAAATGTACTCGTATGCCACACATAGATAAATAACAATTTCACGTTTTGCAAGCGCAACCCTGACGAACATTGGTCAAAGAAAAGAACCTATCTAACTTTGGAGTCGACCGTATAATTTTAACAAGTCTATCGAAATGGTCGTTTTGGTGTAGATTCAAGCTTAATATTATTAACTGGGATTATTATTCTAAACACAAAATTAAAAAGTGTCAATAATAGTAATTATTACTATTATGCAGCAGTAGCTTTAGTAGCGGTAGAGTTCCTTGTGAAAGAGTTTGTCCTGGGAAGTACTGCCACCTTACTTATTTCTGCCGCGGAGCAGTGTGAGCGTATGTACAGTGTCGATTTCTCTCGGATCGTTTCGATTTAAAGCTCTGAATGGGTCTGCCACGCTATGGACAAGTGTGTTACTTACCACCAAGCGCATGACTTGTTCGTCTCCTTACCTGGTATCTTAAAAAAAAACAAAAATAAATGTAGATAACTACACTAATTCATCACCATCATCATCATATCAGCCAGAAGACGCTCACTGCTGCGGTCGGACGCGACGTGCGTCCATTGGTTACCCACCGCCCTTATCAGGTCATCCGTCCATATAGTAGGGGGACGTCTCACTGAACGCCTTCCGGTACTTGGTCTCCATTCGAGAACTTTTCTGCCCCAAAGGCCGTCAGTTCTACACTTGCCACTTCACCTTGCTAATCCTTTGAGCTATGTCGGTGACTTTCGTTCTTCAACGGATTTCCTCATTTCTGCCTCGATCACATACTACACTAATTATCTTACCTGGTCTTAAACTAGGAAATTTCACAGTTAACCGCTGAGCTACTGAGGTCATCAAACATATATGACAAGTTTAACTTATACAATCCGCAATAATAAATTGTAAATTTGTATTTCCATGTACTCATAAGTTTACATTAAAATAGGCACAATCATAATTACATTAAAGAAGGTCAACCATGAATCAGTCAGCCATTGGTGTGTCACAAAGTTTTTTGCCAGTAACCTTACAACTTTGTTACAGATGTTAGTGACTAGAATAAGTATTATATTCATATTTATTCGGAAGATTGATTTCACGAATTGTTTCTGTCACTCGTGCGTAACAAGGGCGAAGCAGTCGAGCAATCAGTAACTTTATTACTATGTTTTTCCATGTGCTCTAGGGTTGCGTCATATTTAATTTCAATTATACTTTTTGTTTATAATTAATTCTACAATTAACCAGCTACAATTATCTATCAAAAAGGTATTACTATGAATTAATATTTATATTTATAGTACTTAATTATAATTAATTAGGTATTTTTGTCGAAACTGTACTGTAAACCAGACGCACGACTTGTTCGTCCTGTCTCTAGGTATTATAAAGAAAAGTACGTTAAGACTTTAATGATAGGGATAAGTGGAAATAAAATTCCACTCATCTCAATCAGTGACGGTGTGGAAGGAAAGAGTGGAAAAAATCCACTTGTCCCCTCTAGGAGTGGAACAGCTTGGCTTTTTCTATATGCTGTGATATCAACTCTGATGTCATTTTTGAACGCCTTAAAAGATCTCTCTCTCTCTCTAGAAACTATAACAAACCAGAAAACATTTTAAAATAAGAACACAAGACTCGCTGAAAAATGTAGTAAACAATGAACGTGTTTTAGTATATTAATTAGACGTACATTTCATCAAAACCTGGCAAACGAATATTTTACATAACAGTATTTTTAAATAACAATTGCAATTTATTAAAAAATAGAAACTCAAAAATATAATATACACTGGTTAAATTTTACATTTTATATCATCAAATAAAAAAATATTAGTGTTGTAGTAGTATTTACAAACTGACAAATAATACAATTTCTTTTTAAATTGTCTACAATTTAATTCTTTTGCAGCATCAGGTAATTTATTAAATAATTTGGACGCAAATGTATACATCATTCTATTGTCAAATTTCAAATTAGGACGTTGTTTGGGGAAAGTACGAAGCAAGAGAGTCGAGTCTGAGTTGGCTACCAGTATTAATACACTTAGTAACAAATACAAGAACATACTTTTAAATTAAGATTAAAATATTAGAAACCCTTGTTGAGATAGTGTTTTAATTTCAAATATTACATACTGGTCTACAAATTGTCAATCTTTTAAGGTGATCTATTTTAAATAATGACCAATTTCTTTAATCCTTTGATGGAAGATGTCTCTCGCTGACTTTCTAATTAAAAAAGATATTTGTTGGTCTACATAAATAGAACGGTTTAGCTTTAAATAATATTGTCTGTAGAAAAAGGCTTTCTATGATTGCGTTTTAGAAATTATGATTGATTGATCATTTTATTGTCAGTAATTTAAATATTTATACTAGCATTGTCCTATAAAATAGCAAAATGTGACACTATTTCCCAGAATTGTCATATAATATATTCAAATATACTAGCCTTTTTGCAATTACACACCGCATACATATTTCTTGGATTTCCTCATGTTAGATTTTATACAGGACTAATTAATTTATATGTTTGATGTCCTAACGAGTTCTATAATTATTTCATTTATAAAAAATTGCGTCCAATGCTATTAGTATTTTTTTTCGGATTATTTTTTAAAGGTCTAGTGCAAGAAATAAAAATAAATGAATACGAAAAAAAGCGTTTTTTATTTATCATCACAATAAACATACCTTTGGTATAATAAAGTATAACGCATTTTTGTTATGTGAAAGTCATAAAAACAATAATATAATAACGAACTATATGAAAACAAACATGTACGTGTGACATTTATAACTCTCCTATTTAAATTAAAAAAAGTTTTCGGGTAATTTCGTTGTTAGTATCTTTAAATCACTCTCCTGAAAAAATATTTATCATAATTGATTACATTTTTAATTGTGGTCCATTCAATTGTTAAAGTCATCAGGTTCCGTCCTTTCGATAATCCAACCCGCAAACTCCTAAACGAGTGCGATGTCCTCTCGTTTCGGCGACTGTTTATTCAACAAATAATTTTGAAAAAGCTTTCAATTACTTCATTTGATTCCGTTACTTTAACCAACAACAGATGACTCGATACCTTTTCATCTCGTACACAACTCCAAACGCTTAGATTCTTTTGCTTCTTTGGTACACCCCCTTACTTTAAATTCTACTTTGCATTATTTCGCCATGTATAAAATAGAATGTAAAAAGACAGTCAAATTGTGGCTTAAAAATAAAACTTACAATGAAACAGGGGGCTTGCTGGAAGTTGTTACAAAACCATTTTTATATAGGTAACCATTAATTTATAAGTACTAATTATTTTATTGTTTAATATAGAAAATCTCTTTCTAAGCTGTAATTTAAAGAAATTTGCCCAAAAAGATGCCTAAAATACTGGTACACATTTACTTAGTTTAGGCATCGTAATTAGACATTAGGTTCTATTATTAAAATGTATAATAGCTTTACTATGATGATTGTATAATTTAGATTCCCTTCTTAATGTTTATTTTAATATTATAATAGCTTTGTTTACATTTGCTTTACTCGTATTGTATTAGATTCAGTCATATTGAAATAAATTTATCTTTATTTATTTATTGAATTCATCGGGTTACATATTTCTTATAAAATTTTAAATTACAAATGCTATCAGTACAGCCAGTATGATTCCGTGATATAGGATCACAAGAGCATCCAACAAAATGAACCCAGTGTTGCAACGTAATCTACATGCGACGTGCCATTGTACCGTGTGAAACTTTTCTCAATTAGCTAGCGAGCCAGCGCTTGAGCATCTAAGGAAACTTCATTTTCGGAAGCCATGTCGGCTCCGCCCACCAAGGCTGCTAGCGTTTGGCAGTCACCAGAAATAAGGCCACATATAAATGTCTGTGTATCCTCTGTAGCGTTATTCAGGAATCGTATTTTCTGTGAGTCGGGTGTGTTACTGTGCTGTGATAATGTGGCGGTTTCAATTTTTGCTTTTTATTGTGGTCAGTGCAAATGCGAAGCCCGAGGCTGGTCTATTTGATCCTGCTTTACAGGCGGGATATGCGGACTATTACAATGTGCGTATAGTTCTTTAGTTTTGATACACAATATAAAATACAAAAAGTTTTTATTACTCTTTACAAAGTTTTGGTACAATAACTTAATAATTAAAAGTATCCTTTGAGAGAGCTGGAGTTTGCACTACGAAAGAGAAAAAAACCTGTGTTGCGAATCTCCAGGCTCTCTTCCATCTAAATCTACATAGATGTACAACTTATATACAATAATAACTTTTTTTTAAACTAAGGAGTAGGTTTACTGTTGTAGGTCAGGTAATAGGTCGTGAGTGTGTGTGTGTTTGTGCGAGCGTGGGTGCGTACTTGAAAGTTATGTATGTGTGTGATAGTATCTTCTGTGTTAAATTTGATTCGTTATTTGTTAATACAAATGTTTACTAGTCTCCTTTAACAATTAACTCCACGATGAGTATCGTTAATTTTGTTTCTCACGATTTATACCTAATTCGTCTGTTACTTATGTGGTATCCTTCTTATGAAGTTCTATATAAATATTTTGATCGATTATGAAAGGTTTTCAATCTAAAACCATTGAATTTAGTTTATCGATACGGTTACTACTCTTGGTTTTGAAATAGACACAGATGTTCTCAATGTCAAAAGATTAAGTAACAACGTATTAAGAATTTTATGCCATGTTTATGTATTCGTAAATTATTCGTAAATGTTGATAGTAATATTGGTTTTTACAGGACCGGCCTAGGTATGCCTTCAATTATGGAGTCTCTGACCCTAACACGGGAGATATCAAATCGCAGCACGAAACGAGAGACGGAGACGTTGTTAAGGGTAAATATCAAAACATTATGTTGTATTAAATTCTGCATAGCATTATAGAATAACTAAACAACGCGTCGGAGCTATAGGTGATAAGCTGTATCTTTTAAGTTTATTTATTCGAGAAATCAGCTTAAAGAATGAAACATTAACATCTTAAATGCAGCGGTTTATACATACCTTATCTCATCAGTATTTAAAAAAATGAATGATTTATTGATATTAATTTTCTTAAAATATGGTTTGTAAAAGGTCATTGAATGTCATTAAAATAATTTAATGACATTCCGATATAAGTTTCGATACTATTTAGCATTACGGTAATATAAATTAGTATATGCAAAAATCTACACTAATCAAGGAAAAGTGCTGTTAATAAGTAACTGCCAGAAACTAGGACAATGGTTTCCATTAATAAATAACCTTAGAGCTCTGTGAAAGAAAATAGGTTTTAATACTTACACATGTCATTGTATAGTACAAAGCTACTGTCATTGTATTCACTTGTTAGTTTCTTATCTCGATATACGTATGGGTGTTTTTAAATTTGTTCATTGTTTTCAAAAGTGTAGTGCTAATAAAATTTTGTTACCACAATCAAATCTTTAGTTTCTGATCAAAGTTGAGGAAGAGATTCTCACGATACCTTGCAATTTGCAAAGTATATTTCAATAATACTGTTGGTTCGATCCAGTAGAGTTTGAATGCTGAATAATATCTAAACAATTAATGCACGGATACGTTGACAAATCTGGTTTTAGTGTTCAAGCTTAGATATTTTATTTTGTGTAAAATTTGATATTTATAAAGTAATTAATAATTGATAAATTAATTAAAATAATTGCTCCTTGTGAAAGAGTTCGTCCAGGGAAGTACTGTCACTTTACCTATTTCTGCCGCCAAGCAGCAATGTTAGCATTACTGCGTTTCGATTTAGAAGGTTAAGTAAGGGTGCTGGTGAAATTACAGGCACATGGGACTTGTCAACTTATATCTCAGGGTGACGGGAGCAGTGGCAGTGTCCCTCAGTGGCACTGGAATTGTTATGGACAGGCGTGTAGCTTACCATCAGGCGCACGTCTTGTTCGTCCCGTCACTTGAGATTATAAAAAAGCTACACGCCTGTTAATAACATTTACAGTGCCACTCAGAGCTTTAAATCACACTGCCACTGCGCCCGTCACCCCGAGATGTAAGTTGCAAAGTCCCATGCGCCTGTAATTTCACCAGCACCCTTACCCTTCAAAACCGGGACACAGTAATGCTGACATTACTGTTTGGCGGCAGAAATAGGTAAGGTGGCAGTACTACCGTGGACGAACTCTTTCACCAGGAGCTCTACTTCTTCAGAGCTTTAGTAACACTAAAGCTCTGTGTGGTACTGCAACTGCTATGGACAGGAGTGTCGCTTAACAGCAGGTACACGACTTATTCGTCCCATTAATAAAAAATGTGCAGAGCTTACATTCTATATAAAGATAAAATCGAGAAAGGTAGATATCGGATGTAATCTTTAACTTTACCTTTGTTGTAATCAGAGGATCTTGTTCTTACTTTATTGACGTTGCGTGTACTATTGCCTACTTTCTTTTATTAGGCATGGTCAGTGAAATAATGCTGATCGTTTAAGAAGGTAATATCTTTGATAAATGCCAAAGTAATACTACATACAGCTGACATGTAAAAATCGATATTTAATGCAAATAAATAAAGTTGTATTTGTAATATGATTTCAGGTCAATACTCTCTCGTAGAGCCAGATGGTTCAGTGCGTACAGTAGACTACACAGCTGATCCGATCCACGGATTTAACGCTGTTGTGTCAAAGAGCGCGCCGAACATTCACACGCCACCTTTGGGGCCGGCTGTAGCTCCAGCAGTGGCCCCAGTTCCAATTCCTGTCCCAGTACAGGCCCCTGTGGTGCAACCAGTACTAAGACAACCAGTACCAACTGTTCAGTACTTGAGACCGATTCCAGTTCCTGTTGAAGTACCTCCCCAATACTTCACTGACAGTTATGGGCCGCTATATCGACAGGGACCACTTGGTTAGTATACAATTAAAGTAATCTTTAAGAATAGCTATTTACCATTAAAATTAGTAGGTTTCAGACAAGAAAAACCGTGCTTTTGAGAATAATAGTGCAAATGATAATTTACAAGTTCCTTTTTTAAAAATATCTGTTATGTTTAATACAGTTTTCGGTAAAACAAAGCCTTCTTTAGCATTGTGTAAAGAATTGAAATGTATATTTTTATTGTAATTTTCTTTATTCTTCGATTGTTTGAAGCTACAGGTTAGGCGTACAGAAACGGACAGAAGTGCTTTACATTATTATGCTTTATATTGAGGCTGTGGTAGTCTAATGGTTTCACCTACTGCCTCTCAAGTAGAGGCCATGGGTTCGATCCGGTCTCGCATCTCATGAGTTTCGCAGAATTTATGTGCGAAATTTCATTTAAAATTTACCATGAGCTTTTCGGTGAATGAAAACATCGTGATTAAACCTGCATGTCGTATAAGGTCCTCTGAAAACGTATTAAGTCCCCAACCCGCATTGGGCCAGCGTGACGGACTCAGGTCTAAAACCCTTGCCTTGATAATGATGATGAATTGGTATTCAATGATAATCATGATTTGTATTTTTCCTTGATAGAAAAAGGAAGTTTCCGTGATCATGATGAAACTATGTGGTAGGTTAAGAATTGCCAGTAGACACAATAAAACAACTTTAGTTGAACTAATTATAGAGTAGTCTACAAATCATAAAGTCGGCAATATACAATGGATAAACTCCTACATGTTTTTGCCTTTTTATAAGGACCTTGTGATACTATTATTGTTACGAACCCTGAAATGTATATTAATGATCAGCCTACATATTTTTAAACATTTTATTGTGTGAAAGAGACCCGTACTCAATAGTGGGAAGGTTACAGATGAGTAGGACGATGAATTCCATTATAATAGTTACGGAATCTAAATAATCGTTAACCCATTTACACGTTCCACTGCAGAATACGGGTCTCCTCTCAGGCGAAAGTTTAGGCCATAGTCCGCTATGCTGGCCCAATGCGGGTTGGAGACTTTACACGTTTTCCGAGGCTTGTAAACCTTCTTCGATGTGCAGGTGTTATTACGATGTTTTCCTTCACCGAAAAACTCATACAAAATTTCAAACCAAATTTCCATGGACGAAAGAAACAATGAAAGTGCTTTAAGCCGATTACTATGAGAACCGATATCACCAAAACTCACACATTCTTAATTTGAAACACTACAAAATCTTATTGGTCGTTGTTACAAATTAAAAAAAGAACAAATTCTGGATTGTTAATAAAATTTAAACTTTACCCTGTTGGCAATGATGTGCCAAGTTCAATATCATCTGTGCCAATTATTGCAAGTTATGACGCTTGATATTATATTGAAATTTGAATATATGTACCATCTAGCGATAATTGTTTAACGACGAGGAATTGGAGTATTTAATTTAATTCTCCAAACAAGAAGCGACTATATTGCAAGGGCATAAGCTTTAGTTTAGTTTCTTTTAACAAAAAAAAATATTTCGATAAACTGAAATTTGAAAATTTATAAAATAAGACTTTGCGATGATACGAAATACCACCACGGGTAATATTTTTTGCACTCCAAAACAGCACAATAAGGCATTTTTGGGGGTGGGTGGGAAAGGGGTGCACCGAGCTCAGATAGATCTTTCGAAACCTATAGTTGGCACTCCTCAGACGCTAACTAACCACTTCTACTGTATTTATTGTTCTGTGTATAAATATTTCGCACATAAATTCCGAGAAACTCAGATGTACGAGCTCGGACTCGAATCCACGGCCTCTGCTTAAGAGGCGGTAGGTCAAGCCATTCTGTTACCACAGTTTATAAATATAAAAAAATATCAGATTTAATCTTTATCTTTTACATTAACTACAATATAAAACTATTAACGTACATTATTGGTCTGCATGTCGTTGGAGCAAACACCAACGCTGAAGTAATTTTGATTAATTTTGAAGAGAGAGAGAAAATACTAAGTGTATTTTTTTGCATATGCAGTTCTTAGGTATTCGCGATTGTTATAGACACATTAAATATTAATATTCTTCGTAATCTTTCGGTGCGTGACGAATAAAGCGACTAAGAGAACATGAGAAACAGCGTCTTCGTTTTCATTACATTGCAATAAGTCGACTGCAAAGTATAAGGCAATCTCCTTTGGTTTTCGCCATTGTTATAAATTGGAAACGATATAATTATTTCCCGGCAGACTGACCAGCTGTGCTCATGGGACCTGTAAGGGTCCCGAAACGTTTTTTTTATTTTGAAAAAAAAAAACAAATATTTGCGATTCAGATCCGAAAAATAGTATATTTCTTTTTTTTAATAGTTTATTACTGTGTTGGCTATATTATTTTTATTATTACGACTTTAATAATGTTCAAAAGTAAAAACCGCCAATTTTCGAATTGAGTGTTGTGTGATATTTAAATTGAGTGTTGTCTGATATTTAAATTTAATACAAAATATTTTATTAGTACGGACGGCAGCATATCAAGCAAAACATTGACGGATCCTGTTCCGTTGGGGTGCTGTGCGTACAGATCCTACGAATGCGTATTCAACGCGTGCGGAATGCGTGCAGTTGAATACTTGTTAATTTAAGTGGCGCTCGACCGGCACGCGAACAACTCGCACAACGTAATGCACATCCCAGCTCGCGAGCTTTTCGCAAACAGGCGCAATGCAGGCGCATTCGCCACATCTGTACGCATCCTTACTCTGAAATATTCCGATATTCGAACAAAAGTATATAGCTTACTGTGCTGTTGACTGTACAAAGATTTGATCGAATCTTTTAGATTAAAAGGAACGTTAGCTAACGAAGGAACGGAAAAAGCAAATTTGCAAATTTTCGGGTTGCTCTCTATTTAAAACCAAAAGGAACTTTTTATTTCAACCAAATTCTACAACTTGATGACAAATTACCTATAAATGTGTAGATTTACGAGATTATATAAATACCACTATGCAGCCATGTAAATACCACTGTGGCAGCCACAAAAGCAAAGTTACACACACTACACACAATTTACTGCTGATTTAAGTCATTTAAAGAAAAAAACAACACTGTCAAATCAGAAACATAACCTTTTTGTAAATTTGTTTTACAGTGTAATCATTGCTAAAAACATTACGTCAACGTCACCAGAAAGCAAAATAAAAAATGAATAGTTTATTAAATTTGTTCCATTGAAAATACTCCTTTGCTATGAAAAAGTCCGATGAAAAGGTTTACCCACATGGCATTATTATGTTCAGTTAGCGTAACTGCCGATTCGTAACCCCCATTGTTTTCGTTCTATTGTAAAGAATTGTGTTTGAGGAATTTACGTTTAATCGTTTCTTTGCAGTGTACCCCAAGGTTGGCCCTTCGCAGTTCCCTGAATACGACAATGTCGAGTACGACGGTCCATACGCTTCACCGACTTTCTACAAAAAATAAGCATGTACAATATTAACTTAAAGATTAATTTATACGATAAACTTTGTAATTATTATTATTTTTTAATTAAAATATATTTCCTATAGGAGCTAGCCGGTATTTTTCATGATTAACAAAATCGTTGTACATGTAAATGTTTCAAGTGCCAATAGAAGATATTATAATTCGATACTATATGCGTTTGTTTGAATTTTTTGGTTGAAAGGTGCACGCCTGACATTGTACTTTTAGCAAAATTTTTATATAGAAAGTTTGCCCCCATTCGCACAACTTCAAATTGATGTTGATGCTGCTACTGAAAACGTGTGAAGACTTACCTGTACAGGGCCAGAGTGGTGGGCTATGGCCTTAATCCTCTCCGTAGAGACACCCGTGCAGAACACTGGGATCGAGTGCTTTAGAGTTTGCGGGCGTGAGCACAACAACACACGAAAGTTGTATCGTAATCCAATGGAATAGGTAATAAAATGTATACGAGACAAACGTACATTCATTTTTATGTATAAAGTCAGAATGACAATATGCGTACCTATATTGTAATGTGCCAGTTTAAAAAAGATAGCTTAAACAAATGTTACCTACTCTTCAAACAAGGCTAGCAATAATTGCTAGAACAATCTTAATACAAGTGAACAAAACTCATTTCCATACTTATAAAAACTTGCTAAATAAATAAATAAATAAATAACGCACACACTCAACATAGCCCCAAAACATTATGGACAAATACAAGTAAATTATTCATAAGAAGTAACACTAGACAGGTACCTCAAAATAATCCATCGCCAGCAGAGTTTTAAAAAAAAGACGTTCAAATGCGGATACTCATCTATAGCAGTTAGAAAATCATCGAGCCACTTAATTAACATAGGATATTTAATATTTGAAAGATTTTAATTAAGTTTTTGTCGAAAGGAAAATTGAAGAGAACTCACACATTATAATCACCTAGTTACATTTCGATATATTGTTTCAAATTATCAGTCATTAGTTAAGGGATGTACGAGTAATATGAAGTAAATAATGAAAGTAATCGAACAAAAAGAGAGTTTCATTTTAATCCTATAGTAGGGACGTAATTCAAGGACACTCAAAGGATATTGCCAAGCATTGGTATGGCTACCAAATCTTTCATAATTTCCCATCATAGATGTGAGTTTCCCATTCATATTGTATTGTTAAGATTCCTACAATTAATTTTCTGTTGGAAAGAGAGTACCTCAGTAGTGGTCTCATTTAAATTTGAAGAAAATATTCCACCTCTAACGGGTGGCACACTAGGGGATGAATGACTTTTTAGGTCGGCTTTTCAGTACTCTGTACTGAGATTATTTTGTCCCTAGTTCAGCTGTTTATAGAAAGTAGTAAATTTTATAGTAACATTGCTTCGTTATTATCAAGTTGCCTTTCTAATAAGCACGAGCAAAGCAACTTCAACACATTTGTGCTATATAGTTTTAGTGGTTATTCTTTGTACACAAACTTACATTTCATTAATTCTTATTAATTTACAACACATACATAATAAATCTAGTCAAATAATGATTATGCATAAACCTACATACTGGCTGTTACAGCAATAGAAAATTATTATTGTGATCAATAATTTTATTAAGTGTATTCTTGAGGTATCGTTTTTCTAATGGGGCAGATATGCTCAATAACGATCAAAGCCCCTAAATATTAAAGAGGAAAAAAAACCTCGTACACATCAAAATTTTCTCAATTTAAAAATATTAGTATCGCGTATCTAATTAATCATAAAATTCCATTTCAGTATCAATAAAAATCATATTTCTTAAGTTTCATGGTCTTAATGTTTTATTTTTAATGAATATGGTGAGGTTTTTACTACCATGATATTTATCTGCTTTTTGTGAAAATACTCCGAGAAAAATTCCTTCGAACCGACTGGACTCGAACCAGCAACTGTTACCTACATGGTTTTGGATCTTAGCGATTGTGGTCAAAACGAAATCAATGACGATTTTTCACACATTTAAATTAACAATGTTAAGTCTGTTTTGATTAAAGGACTGAATGAAATACATTTTAGTGTCATTTTAGAGATAAAATAATGTGTATGCCATATGTATTTGAAATTTATATAAATTTTATCTATGGTATGCCCTTGGTTTCAAGAACACATTTATCGTTTGATGGGGGTCGTTTAATTTTAATTTGTGCACTGTATGGCATGATTGTTATGCATGCATTTATATCGGTTTTATAATCGTAATAAGTAAGTTATAGGTAAATCTTTGAAATAATTCTCCAGATATTACACAAAACGAGTGTATTAGTCTTGTGTATGTTAGCAAATTAAAGGAAAATAACAAAGGTTCCGAAAGAGAGACAGAGGGAGAGAGAGAGAGAAAAGAGAGAGAAGATCAAATGCGAACTTATTTTTAATAAAAAAACAAACGAAGTTGCAGCGAACGAAAGCGAGTGAAAAGCTGCAATAAAACGCATTATTGAAAAGTAAACACAAAAAATACATATCGATACAATTAATAATATTTATTATGACTAGGTGACATAATTTTTACAGTACGTAAGGAACCAAGAGGTGTCAAAAATTATATTTCTAGATAATTTTATATCTTTTTAAAGTGATCGTTTTATGTATTAATTCAATAGTAAACTTTATGTTACATTAGTTTTAACAGCTTTTCGAAGGTATTAAAAGACACGTTGAACCTTTCGTAAACGCAGAATGTAATAACTTATAATGAGTATAATCACAGAAAGTTGCACCATCACGAAAGTTTAAATTTAACTTCAATAACACTACGTTATGTCACTAACTTTTACAGCTAGTAATGTTAACTAAACTCGTGTACCATAGATTTATTTTTTATAATTAGATGAACCACTTGCTTGTTGCATAATTATGTCATCGTAACATCGTAAGCAAGCGTAACCTAGTACCTTCTGGAATCTGTATAGTTTTGTTTTTCATTTGTTTAAGAAAAACAGCCTGTTTCAATTAAAATGTACGATAAGTATTTAATGCTAGTCAATGTTAAGGCCAATTACAGATTTTCTGGATTAGATATTATAATTTAGTCGTTATAAACTGATTGTTGACAAACCGAACAGATAAGTGCGTATTAGACAATGTTAAATATTAAATAAAAAGAAAAGAAACTCGACTTAACACATTGCGTGTCATAAAAGTCTACTAACCTACAATAAGAGATACTATAAACACTACTCGTCCTCCTAAAGGATAAAAATTAAATAAATTCAAGCATAAAATATTAAGAAAAAATAATAAACATAAAGAATATGTGAATATAGTTAATTAATAATCCATTTCTAGACTAGTTAAAGTAAAAACACATTTCAGATCGGCGCTCGGCGCCAGTATATGCTGCATTAATTCCAAACAAAAAACTAGTTTCGAATTTAGAGAAATCTACAATCCTACAGGAATATTTTTAATGTACAGTAGATGCCCTAAGGTACATGACCACCTAATAGTCTATTTGGTTCTGAGTAGATCAGTACGAAGAAAGGTTAGTTATTATTAATAATACAAAGGTCGAACACTTACAAAAAATTCCTTCACTTTTTTGCAGATCTTTGTTTTTGGTTTTTGACGTTAAAAAAAAAAGATCTGCAGCAATCACATAGGATAATTCATAGGGTTCGCTGATTATGATGGTATAGCGTCTAGTACGGTTTGCTAGAAGACGGTGGTTTGAATCCTGCCTGATCGAAGGAATTTTTTACAGGTGTTCAATTTTTGTATTAATAAAAATTATAACAAACTAGTGGAGTAACGTCGCAAAAAATAATTCAATATCGTAGTGTTGAAATTCAATAAACTTATGAAGAAAGGTGTCAAACTAACTTAACCTGTAACTCGTATGCCGTGAAATTCATTTTCATATGACTTCCTTATTGCATCATTAGTTACGGACTTTTAAGAAAATTTTATAAGCCAATTTGATCTTTAAGAACTTTATATAAATACAAATGTCATCAAAAAGCTGGAATTACTTTACACTTTTCTGTAAAATGCGCAAGAAGGCTCTCAGAACCTAAAGAGGGTCAGGTAAGGGGTCAGGTACCTTAAGGCATCCACATACATATCGGTTTTTATTGTGTAAGTAATTTCTTTTTGTTTTCTTTTGCGCTCCTCATAAATAGCTTAATAAATGGTCTGTGCCAATTTTATTTCATAAATGATCTGTTACACCTACGTCAGACCGTAGCCAGGAAGGTTCTGGCTGAAAATCAGTGCTGTGTAAACTTGATTTGCACAGCATATAATGAGCTCAGAATAGTCGCCACACATTTGTGACCATAAATATGGTATTGTGTTTTTACCATCAAGTAGTTTTAGTTACTATTTAAGACTTTTCATTGGTATGTTTTAAGTTTTCTTTTTGTGTGTGTGGCAAATAAATGGAATTTGGAATTTGTATATTACAAAGTACATTACAGGATTATTACAATACTGTAATTGTGGTTATGGTTAACAAACAGTGAAAGTATTGTACACGTTCACCTCTGGTTACCAAAAATTATAAACAAATTAACCCAGATACATGTGGGCAATTGCGTGTGAACTGGGCATGTGATATCGTTTTAAGTAATACCCTTAAGGTGTCAAACTAGTTCTAAGAACGATAATTATATTTCATAATTTAATTTTCTTTTTATTAAATATACATTTCACGCATTTTTATTAGACAATTTTTTGTTTCTTTTAAACATTTTTAGGCATTTAAGAACGATGTGGAGATAGAGTCTCCACACATATTATCGATAAAATCGATAAAATAATGAATAATAACAAGATAAATTTAACATAGATCTTTTCAAGGCGAGATTGACCAAAACATAACATCTGGGTTTAGTAGTGATGTTCAACCAATGAATAAAATAAAATAAAAAATCAGTAAAAAAACTTGCATTGGGCCAGCGTGGCGGACTAACATCTAAATCCTAAACACTCTCCTTAAAGCAGATGTGTGCTCGGAAATGGAATGGTTGACGATAATGAAAAAAACGTAAAATATAGCATTTTAGTCATATATTTTTCATAAAAAAAGATATATCCTTCATGCTACATAACAATAATGCCGCTTGTTGCACAACAACTTACTATTTTTACACTTAAATTATTGTTCTGTGTTGCCCCCGTAATTTTCTGTGCAATATAGAATATTTCATTCGTTCATTCATATATCATTTACTAGCCGAAGATACACACACAGTACAGCCGTTCACTAACTAAAACGCGGCTTAGTGACAAATGGTTTTTTATGATATTTCAAAAAAATATTTTCTCACTTATCCGCATTTTAGTTAGGGGACGGCTGCGTAGTTTAGAGCCAATTGCACTTATAGTAAAGAATATCATAAAAAAAACATTGAAGTAATAACAAATCCCATTCCAACTGTACGCCGAACAGTGCATAAGGGTCATGACCCGTTCTCAATACCAATGGAAGAACGAGCAAAAATGCGATAAGTATCAAGAATATTTGGAATGCCATTTACAATCATAACAGATTACATTTGTTCCTCGTGTAGACTGCTTCCATTTGTCGATGTAATGATGGTTTAAGTTTACGAACTAGGTACACCACAGTGGTAAAACAAAAACAAAAACACATTGATTATAACGCAAAAACACGATTAAAACGACCCGACAAAATGAGAACAAACGGGAAAGTAGAAATAAAGCATTTTTTTATGATACC